GTTATGCCAAACTATGAATTTTGTTAACTGACTATGATTTAACACTTTTTTATGTTTGGCATGAATGCACCATTCTCACTTTACATGACCAGTTATTCCACTCTGCGACACACAAGTTAAAAACCACTACTTAACATGTGTGAAGGCACATTCACCAACAATGATAGCTATAACAATGACTATATTAGCATCCATGATAACATTATGTTTATTATAAATGCTCACTGCAGTTTTGTTGTCTAAATTTAAAAGCTCAAGCTCTTTAAAGTCAGGTGGATTCTGATCTGTTGCAAATGTTTTTTTATCTTTCATATCCTTCCTCTGTTTTATTAATGTTATATTTTTGGTGTAGACTTCCCTATTCTCACAGAATCAGAATGATTTTTAAAACTTAAACACCAAGAACGATAAGTATAAAGTTAACAATAATGATAACTATATTAGAGTTCACACTAACACACAATAACGTTCTGTTTATTTTGAGCGTGCGCTTCTGTTTTGTCGTCTGCCACTTTAAATGCTTGAGGTCTTCCAGTTGGGTGGATTCTGAAATTGATTCCAACAGTATTGTTCCACTGTGTCATTATTATTTTATGGTAGTGGTGTGGACTGCCATATTCTTATAGAATTGGAACGATTACTAAAACTTTACATCATTGGCACAAATTAGTCTTAAATTCTTCAATGTTAGAATGCTTTCTCATATTCCAATGACCATCAGGTTTTCCATTAATATGCAGAGACAACTGTAAGTAATCCATAAAAAGGCTGGTTTAATTGAAATGTGTAAATAGCTCCATTGCTTCGACCAATGGCATCATTTTTGGGTCATTTTATCTGTATGCTGACCAATGGAAAACATGGAGCGTGTTAATGAAATGTGTTTGAAAACTCCATGCTTTTTGAATGAATTGCATACTTTAAAGTCATAAAAGGCCAATTATATTGTCATTTCCTAAGAAGAAACATTCTCATTTGTTCTCATTGTTCATCTCATACCGTATAGCTCTATCTAGAAGCAATCAAAAGTTGCTATCAAAATTAACGCAATGGGGAGGATAGTGGCAGGAGAAAGTTCATTCCTATCCAAAGCATGGTAACCTAAAGAGAGCCAGGTTGGTCTGGACACACCTTGTCTGTGTGCTTCTGTTCTCTGTGAGTCAGGATCGAGCCTGAAGCCAGCTGGCTTGGATTCTGGTTCATGTGGGCGGCAGTAATGCAGGCAGCCAGCACATTTTCATTCAATATAAATAAAGAGATTGGAGGGAACTCTGCCGTTTTGTATGGGCAGTCATATATTCAACGTGTAACCGCATCGCATGTAAAACTACAAACCGAGATTTGGGACCTTGCTTGGAAACAGAGCATTCAGCGAAAATAATGGAAAGAACGGTCATTCCAGCCCCGTCGGGCAAGAAGTGGTTAAGAGACCCGCTGCCAGGTACAGAAATGAAACTGGTCTGGATCTAAACTGAACTAATTTGTCAGCACTACCATCTGTGCAGCTCTCGGTCTCTGGCTCTCAGACAGGCTTCAGCGGTTGACATCCTACCCCAGTCAAACTGCTTGGAAGATATGAGTGTTTCTCATGATTTGGCCAAGGGGAAGCTCTGAAGCTACCACCCACTTAGTGATCTCAGCGCTGGACATGGCAGCCTTACCAATACCCCTCTCCATCATTTCGGCCCCCTCCGCCCTTGCTGTTTTCTAACATTGGCTCCTTTTTTCCCACATTCAACAACTCTCTTATCCCCCTACCTCATGATCGACCATTTTAAGCTCAGGGGAAAACACACATGCTTTCAAACCCAGGCATTAACCCATATTTTTCTGTGTGTTCTTTATTTCTATTTGGATGACCAAAGAAGTTCCACTCAGACCAGATGTATTTTTAAGTAATGACCAAAGGAATCTAGCCCGAACTGACCTAAATTTACTTTGGGGAGAATAAACATTCTATGACTGTGTGTCCAGTCAGAAATGCATGTATGTTTATGTCATTTCATTTCATGTCAACACTTTTAGAAAAAAAATGTACGAAGTTGTCACTGGAGTGGTAAACTAAGTTACAAAAGCCCTAAATGGTACCTTATTTACCCATAAATGGTACATATTGATACCTTGAAGGTACATATTAGTACTTTAAAAGCACATAATAGAAACTTATGAAAGGGCACTACCACAGTGACAGTTTTGCACCCTTTATTTCTAAGAGTGTACTTTGCAGTTAGACGATAGCTATTGGAGAATCAATGGCCAGTATGCATAAATCATAATTAATCCAAGAAAAATGCCCAGAGTAATTGTGTTATTGTTGAACGTTTTATATGCATTCACACACAAATGATTAAACTGAATTATAGCAATAAATATTTGTTTGACTTGGTAGTGTACATAGAGGTAAAGTCTGTGCAGACTTTCCATTTGGTGAGTGAGCCAGAGACACCACCCAACTCAAAGAAAAACACGCACGCACACACACGCACACACACACACACACACACACACACACATGCAAGTTTGTGTGTTGAAAACCACAGGGGTAGTGAGCTCTAATCTGGAGCCACTAGCCCACTTTAAACACACTCCCCAAGTTATACACTCTAAAAAATGCTGGGTTAAATACAACCCAGTGCTGGGTAAAATAGGGACAAACCCAGCAATTGGGTTGTTTTGACCCAGCGGTTGGGTTACTACCCAGAAGATTGGGTTAAACATTTAACCCATTAATTATTTAACCCAGCATTTTTTAGAGTGTAGCCTCTGCCTCACCAACCTCTCCCAAGAACACACAATTTTTCCCTATATCACTCTTTCTCCAACATACATGTAACATACGTACACATGTGGTACCATTACCTCTGTTTAAACAACAGTTGTAATTCGTCTGCTCTGCATCTGCTGGGGTGGCCTTGAGGAAACACTGTTCCCTGAAACCAGCTCCACGGTTTGGGACCTCCGTGCATTTGTTTTTGGTTCCAGGGGGACAGCCGGCGTGCACAGACCCCTGACTTCTTTCTGCTGGTATGGGACTCCAGATCCTGCTCTCTTCTGACAGTCTTCCCATTGTATCAGGCTCAGAGTACCTTACTGTGATTACCCAGTCACCTCCTAAATGAAATGTGTGCTTAACATCATCTAACTGTCCTGAATGCCCGCCAACTTTTGCATGGGGTAAGTTATAGGGGAATGAAATGTGGAAGACTTCTGTGTAACAAATACGTTCAACTGTCAGAATCAGAATAAAAGAAAGAAAGAAAAGAAAAGTAGCCATTATTCCAGTCTCCAGTGTCACGTGATCCTTCAGAAATCATTCTAATTTGGTTCTCATGAAACATTTATTATTATTATCATTTATTATCTTCAATGTTGAAAAAAGTTGCAGGTTTTTTTTACATTATGATTGTCTTTACAGTCACTTTGATTAATTTCATGCATCCTTGCGGGGGAAAAAATAAATATATATATATATATATTTTTAAATCTTACCGATCCAGATTAATCCAAAGGTATGGCCCTATATATACAAGTAAATCTTACAAAACTTGACAAAAATATGTCTGGGTAATTTTTAATAATAATAATAATAAATATTATTATATTAATATATATTTTGCACAAAGATTTTAGGACCATTCTGAGATCCTATTTTCATGAATTTTCATAATGCAAAAATATATATATATTTAAAAGATGATTGTCATTAACATTTTCTTTCATGTTTTGTTATAAAGTAACATTTACATTCACACAACACTTTTTACTATTGTTTGATAATGATATTGTTGCTATTTTGACTCTAAATCCGATTATCATTTCCTCTTCTCAACTTCTATCCTTTTAAGACAGAACCCCAAAGATCAGACATGCTAAATCAGAGTACTCCAGTAAAAATACTACTAGTACCATGACGAGACACAGTGCTTTAAAAGATGTGGGATAACAGATGTTCTCATTAAATGTTCAAAATAGATACATAAACCTGCATCCACTACACTTGTGGTACTGTACGTTTTCCTGCATTGCACCTTGATGCGGAATGATCTAGTAGTCTAACCGCACAGATGCATTTGGGGCAGACGTGTGTGTCCAGCCTGCAGCAGATGCCTCTGACCATCTCTTTTATTATCAGTCCATTTGACAGATCAGAGAACTGTGAAGTCCTGACAACATGTTCTTCATCAATTCCGTAGCAAAACTGGAATGTAAAACTTTCCAAACAACAGAGTAATATGAGAATTTGGTGAATAACACATAAACGTCAACAGGCCAATAGGATTAATCTTCTATCTAAATCACTTTACAGGAGATCTAACTAAATTTGGACAGTGCACTGAGGTCCTGTAACTGTAGTTTAGTGAAAGGGGTCGAAACAACTACAGTGCCACCTAACGGTCGAGTGCAAAACAGCTGCAATAGTCCTGCAGGAGAATGTGAGGATCAAGCAGATACATAAAGATTTCAAAATGTGCGGTTATTGATGTAATCCAACCATATTCAATGCAGCAGAAAGTGCTTATGTGCCGGCGGTCGCTTTTAAACATATTTAAATTTTTTTAAACGGGCATCATGAGATCGAGGTTCTGGAAACTTGTAACAAATAATTATTTTATTGGTTTATCATAGTCTCAGATCTTTAGTCTAAAACAATAAAAATTCATTATAAAAATATACATTAAAAGAAAACTTCATGTTCAAAACTATGGTAATAAATGCAAATAGAGGAATTAAAATAAACTAATAGTTGTTTTATAATTATTATGTTAGAAGAGCTGGACGCATTCTGTCATTGTATTCCATATTAACAAACAGTGATGTGGTAGAAACATTTGGTACATCTGTTGGTTCAGGAAAATGATAATGAGAGTGTGAAAGGGTGCTTTGAGTGTGTGGGACTGAGGTATCTGCTCTTAGCGTGCTTCAGTCCATGCTGCGATGTTGCCCCGCCCCTTTTAAAGGCGCGCAGCCAATAGCAGATGACAACATCCGGTTTAGTTGTCTGAGAGGGAAGTTCAGAAAAAGATTTGTACAGTTTCTTATGCCGCGAAAATCTGACATTGGATTGAATGCTATTCTGTACCGTTATCTTAGATTATTAGGAAAGTATGACAATACATGTATGTCAATAGTGAGCCTGAGCAAAACAGGGACGTCGTGAGAGTCATCTGCTGTCAAACTGAACCGCAGAAGTCTTCGCAGACCGTCCTCACCTCATTGGGTCGACACGCTGCAGCCTGCGGATTTTAGAGGTAATATCTGAGTTTTGTTTGTTCATTCACATGAAAATTAAGCATTTGGCCAGACTGTGTATGGCTTTATCTTCGACTCCCAGATGTAGGGCGCGAATGTACGAATCACTCTGAGACATTACTCATGAGTATGGTCACGTGATACGCCAGGAATGTTACAATGCGACGTCTGCCAGACCTAATTAATATTCATGGTTTTACTCCTTACTGTAATTTTTCTTTGGAGATGTGTATGTGCTCAGACTGAAGTGAATTGCTTATGCTTATTCTGAAGGAAGTGAGAATACAAAATAAATAAATTAAAAAGTCTATGTTTAATGTAAAACCAAAGGTACCCTTGTAAAATATCGTAAGCTCAGCTCTTCGGATCCACAAGTGGTATCAGTTTGGAGTCTGGAAAATTTGATAAAGCTCCTGACGTCAAAGACAATGAAGAAATATAAACATAAACCCTAGATTTAGGATATAAGTTTTTTAAATAAGGAAACTTTTAGCCATGCCTTCATCATTTTATTTTGCTACCTATTGCTATTTTACAAATAACATTTTTATGTTTAAAACTCTCTCTCTCTCTCTCTCTCTATATATATATATATATATATATTACAAATAACATTTTTATGTTTAAAACTCTCTCTCTCTCTCTCTCTCTCTCTATATATATATGCATAATTTATCCTTTTGATCTTTCATTCAAAAAATTCTAACCTATCATTGAAGTAAAACAATGGTAAGTGGGGTAAGTGGGGTAGGTGGGGGGGTCCACAAGTGGTATCAGTTTGGAGTCTGGAAAATTTGATAAAGCTCCTGACGTCAAAGACAATGAAGAAATATAAACATAAACCCTAGATTTAGGATATACGTTTTTTAAATAAGGAAACTTTTAGCCATGCCTTCATCATTTTATTTTGCTACCTATTGCTATTTTACAAATAACATTTTTATGTTTAAAACTCTCTCTCTCTCTCTCTCTCTCTCTATATATATATGCATAATTTATCCTTTTGATCTTTCATTCAAAAAATTCTAACATATCATTGAAGTAAAACAATGGTAAGTGGGGTAGGTGGG